TTAGAGTCTCAACCATCTATGTAAGCGGTGGGACATTCGCCTGTTATTAAATGGTAAGGGGTGTGATGCTGCGATAAGACCGATGCTGAAGTATGCATTAGAGACCTGGTCAGTTCACAATGGGAATATTAAACCATTGCTGTTATGGGGTCACCGATGGTTGCGGATTATTGTTCGCATCTGGGAAACACTGGGTGAGCAACGCTGAGGTCCGCCAATTTGATTTTGGTAAGAAACGCTCTGGTGTCACAGTTATGTGTTTGCTGAAGCTTAAACACACGTTAGTTAGCTCATGTCCTCTGTATGCGAACTTAAAGAAACTTACAAAGAAATCAGGCAAATCTCCGTGCAATTCTGAAGAGCGACCCCGCAAATTATGGTGTCTCATCATGCGTCAAAGTTGGAAATGGCCGCTGCCCTTGGCAACCATCGTAAGTTATTCCGTCTGATACGGGAAACGTGCAGCAGGAGAATGGTGTTAGTGAAAATATACGTGAAGAGAGGGGACAGACTATCCACAACTTATCAAAACGTTTGGAACCTTAGGCTGAGCATTTTGAAAGGCAATTTAATCGGCCGGAATTGTTAGATTCCTCACCGGCCGGTGATCGCCCTGCTCTCTATATTGTTTCTTTGGACCCGCCCTTTCGCCTAGAAGTCGAACACGAGATCGGACTGTTCAAGTTGAATAAAGCTGTGGGACTAGATGCTCTTCATCCAGCCCTCTTCCAATCCGGGTGCCCTGCTCTTGTTGAGGATTTACACGTATTACTAGTTAAACTGCTGGAGCAGGAAACCAACCCAACCGACTGGAGCCGCTCCGTTATTTTCCCATCTTCAAACGGAGTTCTCTTTCGGAATGTGGCAACCATAGCAGAATCAGTCTGATCCCCATTGCCTTCAAATTACTTGCCTATGTAATCCTTCACAGACTGACTGGCGCTTGTGAAAACCAGATTCCTGAGGAGCAAGCCGGGTTTCTTTGTGGTCGGGGAAGCATCAATCACATATTCACGTTAGGTCATTTGTTGGAGCACCGTCACATATATTGGCGGTCCACCGTTGTCGTGTTCCTCGATATCAAAGGTGCCTCCGATTCGGTGGATCGACGTGCACTTTGGGACTGTCTGTTAAGGAAAGCTTTCCCTGAGAAATAAGTATTATACCAGCGCTTTACGCGCGTAGCTCGGGCAGATTCAGGGCTTATGGAAAGCTGTCGCCTTCGATATTTCCAGCGGTGTAAGACAAGAATGCCCGCTGTTACCTTGCCTCTTCAACTTCGCTATTGACGAAGTTATGGAGATCGCGTTCACAGGTCACAACTTAGATGGTATGGAGTTGCTCCCAGGTGACCGACTTTTGACTTGGAATATGCTGACGATATTTCCCTTATCTGTGAGAGCTCCCAAACGTGTGCCAAGCGGCATTGGACAGATTACCACTGGCTGTCAACATTTCGGACTATGCTTTGTGCTCTCAAAGTACAAAGCTTTCCTTCAAGGTTAACAGGGACCGCTTCATGCGCTAGCCGAACAACCTCCACGTGATACCAGCTGGGTGCTTCGGGTTAATGCTGCTCCAGCTAATAGTTTGTCGGCACTGCTCTAGGACATGGTGGGTTACCGCTTGGCAAGAGATCTCCCTATAAAAAGCCACAAATGTTTGCTTAACAATACTGTGATGTGGCGGATATGACTCGTCACTAAATAAAGTCGTTGCCTTACCGGAGGATCCTACCCACTTCGCCAACATCAATCACTTCAAAGACTTCATCTGATCCTTTTTATATTGGCGAATTCACTGAACAAATTCACATTAATAGTAACAAATTCGCACGTTATGCCTCACACGTGGTTGGCGGCATCCAATTTTGGATTTTCCCGTCACTGTGGACAACCACAGGACGCCTGCGCCTCCAGAGAGACCAGAAGTGGCTTGCGCTGCACCACCTACAGCTCCACCCACACACTCCAAATCCAGTGTAAACCCGAAGGAATAAGACCGGGAGGCATGTGGATGGGAGCCACGTTTCATCAAAGGAGCCGGCCCACACTCCTTCACAGGTACGCACAAGCATGCTGTAGTTGGGGAATCAAGCGCACACAAGGCGGTGGCTAGATCATAGTCCGCTCCACACTGAGTGCATGGAACCACTCTTCGAGCCTAACACGGCCACAAGGACCGTGCACCCCGTCCCCTCCGGCAACGAGCAACTGTTTGCTGGGGCCAGTATGGACGAGGAAGTGGGTGCTAAACAGGTAGGCACCTTGTCAACATGCACATCAAGCGCAGCCGCACCAGGGATGTCGGCCAACAACCAATCATTTGAAATGACGTTTTCAATTAAACTATCTGTTATAGCATACGGCTATGTCGACATGATTCTTTGCTAAATTAGCATATGAAGTGAGTTGGTGAGCAACAAATTCCACAAGTCCACAAGTTATTTCGAAAATGTTAGAAACGCGATAAATTTAAGGAACACAACCACAGTTAGCGTAAGCATCGTGCGCAAGTTAATAAATGACTATTCAGGTAGGCAAAATAAAACAAATAAAATGGCATGAAATTTATTCAGCTTAAAAATACCTGGTTTAATGATAGGTTGGTTTCGCCCAAGTGCGGTTATGACGAATGCAACATACACACATGCTACACACATATATCCAGTATGTACTTGTTAACTTCCGACATTTCTGTATCTCGACTGGTGTTACGCCTTTGTGATTTCATGATCATGCCTTTGAAGGCTTCTCGTAATGTCGAGAATAATTCATTTATTATTTAGTAGTGGTACAGAGGTTCAACTACCTAGGATGTTGTATCAGCGTCGTTGGAATTGAAGACGAGGTCACAAACTGTATAGCACAAGCACGTGGCGCTTTTGTTAACCTTCACCACTACCACTCTCCCTGCAAGGTAGAGTGTACAATGCATGCGTATGTTCGACCCTACTATACGGTTGTGGAACCTGGTCCATCATATCAGCTGACATAATAGGCTAGTTACGTTCGACCACCGGTACCTTTGGTTGGAACACCGTGCAAGCAATGAGCGTGTTCGGCGCCTTTTTTTGCGCAAGAAGACGAAACGAACCGCCCAGCAGCGTTATTTCACGCACCAGGCTCCGATGGCTGGGCCGCGTGTTGCGCATGCCGGTCTACTGGCCCCCTGCGACGTGCGCTGTTTACGCGCCGAGGGTACGGATGGAAGAAGAGGTGGGGTGGCCAGGCGATAAGTTAGTCAGTAGGAGTGAAGACCCTTACTTCGAACTTGGCCTCCTTAGGAACCTCGCCTGCTCCCTGATTGGGCACCGAAGGACGAGGAACACGTTTGACTGAATTCACTTATTGGCATGGCTGGGAGCTGACCTCATTCGTGTTCGTGTTGTGAGTTTCTTTGTCCCTCCCCCTCCAACAACTATCTCATTTATCAGACATAATATAACTTTTTTGCGGCACAACGGCCGGTTATTGGTTCTCCGGAACGATGTCAATCCGTTATTAGTGACTCATCCGGCGTTCCTCATGTTTTTTTTTCTCCTCTGTATTGCGGCATAACAGTTGAGGTGTTTTCCACCTGCAGCTAACGTGTATAATGATGATGTCATGAAAGCAAGAAGAAACAGTCTGTGAGACTTGTTCAGGCTAATGCATGCCGTCTTTTTGGCTGGGGCCCCTGGATGGTCCACAACAGCACTCGCGTAGTCACTAGCACTCCTACCTTCCGTCGCGTTTGAACTGTTCCTTGAGCTTGGCCATTTCGTTGCAAACTTTTCATCACCAACCGAGGTGACATCATTAGTGTATAGTTGCATGGCTTGCAGTAGCTTAGTGGGCCATCTCATCGATTGGTGACGAAACGTTTGCAACGAAATTGCCAAGCTCAGCGAACAGTTCAACCGCCATCTGAACAACCTGAGCTACCAGTCTTCAATTCTATATCCTACATTCGGTTTTTTTATCTAGCGGTTAGTTTTCTTTCCATCCGGATTAGTTTAATGCCACTTTTTGTTGATTCTTTTTTGTAATCGGGTTGCATTTAACCTCTCTTTCTTCGTCATTTAATCTTAATCTGTCAACATGAGTCGCAGCAACTGGATCCACCGTACTTTGATGCCTGAATCATAATTTTTTAAAGTAAACTGGGCTGGAAGCAACGGAATGTTAGCCACTGCACACCTTGGACTCATTGTATCAAGGTGCTGAAATCAGTTTTCACCACTGTAGGGCGTTCCCGGCTTCTACATTGAAGATTTTAAGACTGCGAATGCACCAGTTTGGAAGTGCTATCGGACATGCGCCAAGATTGTACTCACCGGGAAGATCATGAACCTTCTAAACCTTCCTAACTCTTCCACTGACTACCTGTTCCACACTTTGTTGCTGTTAACTGTGTTGTGGCACTGCCGACTGTATATTGATCAACCTCAGAATAATAATAATAATATATGTGGAACCCGGGGCACGTGTCTGTTCTCACACCACCTTTCTCTAAGCTGTTTAAGTGCACCACGAATGGCTGGGGTCTGAGTTCGAGGAGTGACCTATACTCATGGTGCTGCACACTAAAGACAGTTACCAATCGGGTTTTCATAACTGCATCACGCGTTTGTAAAGTGCAACCCAATGACCACGAAGAGTTTTCTCCGACTCTAGGATCGACACTTGATTTTAGGACATAGTTGCTACTCTTCCTGATCCCATTATTTATGCCACCTTGATGCTAGAAAATGTCATTTAAGGATTGATCAGGTGGCTGATCCAATATTGTAACGTTTTTTGTTACCGCTTTTAGTTGTCCATGGCTGGTTATTCATGTTGAAGGAAGCGGGATCTATTCCCAGTTACTCATGTAACTGAGTGGTCCTCTGTTAACGTGCAGATCCAATGCGTCATACCATCGGCAGTTCATATGCTCATACATTGTTTATCTTCAATTGTTATTAGTTATCCGCCTTCATCAGCAACAGCTATTTTACCTCCATTGACATTTTTCAGCCTCAATCTTGACCAGTTTGGTTGTGGTTCGCTCTTAGCTCATTCCTGGCTAGTCCAGCGTTCTCTGCTTCGTTCAGACTTTCGAATGTCCTCCCTAATTGATTCCGAGGCGTCTGAAGCTTCCGAATTATCCGATGAGGAGACGAATGTTAATAAAGGCGCACAAGGCCATCGTCCCAAAGTCGCAGATTCGACTGATAGCGAAGAAGAGGAAGAGGATTTGGCGAATGAAGAAGAAATATGTCGGAAGGAAGGAGAGGGATGGATTGTTGATGAGGAAGATGATATGGGTGCTTCCGGTGGATCTGATGAAGATAGTGACGAAGCAGGTGAAAACGATCAAGAGAACGACAAAGACGACGATGACGATGATGCCTTAGATGATGAAGATTTTCAGCTGATTCAAGAAAACATCGGCATAAATCTGAAAAAGGTAATTTAAAACTTTAGGTTTTTTTTGCATCCGTGGACACTTTCTTTTTCTTTTCGAATTTGTTGCCCTCACATTCACTTTATGGTTAATTAACTAAGTTACTGAGCGTTTTACGCTTGTAATGCAAACATTTTCTTCGTCACAACCGTTCCCGTTCGATGAAGACGGTCTTTCCATAAGACGCGTTTCCAAGTAACGACAGTTTCACTGCTTCCCCCATTTACTGCTTGAAAATCTCAGCTGCCTGCGTTCACAATTGATCGATTGTTTTGTGTGTTGAATGGGACCTAATGCTGTTTTTATCTGCATAACGTTCGCATAGACCCAAATATTCAGGCCTTAATTTTTCTTATAATCGAAGCTACACTGGACCTTAACGTATCGCGGTGTTTTGTGTACCTCCGTGGTCCATAGAGTTGTCTGCGTGACACTGTGTTTGCCATTCATATCGGTCGGATCAGTGGCTGGCGACAACCCATCACCAGTTTCAACACTGTCTCGTCAGGGCTGAGGAGGCGGGATTCAGCATTCCGCAATGGAAGCTGTTTCGGGATGACATTGTTTCCTTAAAGATGGTGACCAGTTTCTTCACCTTTTCGCCCAGAACACTTTCCGTTAACAGCACAGTGTTGCGGCACACTCAATGGCATCTAATTACATGAATCGTTATTTTTTAGCAGCGGTCTTGCAAACCAACTCGCTTTGTTCTGATGCTTGACCCCCCGTGGTGAATACCACAAGGCGTCTGCCTTGCAACTCGGACGTCATCGGTTCAAGCCTGCTTGGGGGACCGGGCGACCCTCGCAGTATTTTTAGCCCACGCGCAACCGGTAGTGGGTGCGTGACAGCGATGCGTCGGTACTGTGTACTACTGTTATTTTATTTGACGTGGTTTGGCCTCGTTATGCGTAATTCCTCATATTTCCGTAATACTGCTTACCTTACACGTTGTTCCCTCATATATACCACTTTCTACTCCCTCTTTGGGCAAGTTTTTTGCTTTATTAGGTCTCATGGGTACACAGCTTCTTTAAGTACATCTACGCACTGTACCGTGTTTCGGATTAAACACCCCACGGCTAAGGACACAAACTATCTGGTGATATTCTTCAAACTGTTTTACCTCACTCTTCATTTATGCTGGTTCTTTATTAATCCTACTATCTGTCGTTATCACAATATTTGCAGAAAAAGCGACGTTTGATACTCGATGAAGACGATGAATCAGACAGTGAACATCTTGTCACGAAAAGGGTCGCTCATGAAACTGATCATGGCAGGGAAGCCATTGCACGTCAAATTTTCGAGGATGAATATGAAGAGGACGCTTCGTCAGTGCACGATGCACCCAATAGAGCTACAAGCTTCGGCGTTACCGTCGACGAAGAGGAAGAGGAGGAGGATTATGATGGTAGGTTATACAGCTTTTGTCCTTACACTCACTGCGTTTATTCCTGACTACTATTCCGATCAAATTTCAATCCACCTTGATTTTTGGTTTTTTTCCCTTCATCTACCTGTCGGTGGCTATTTTAGAATTTACCGTTAAGTATAATGGGCACATATTATTATACTCAATGTTTGCGCGGTCTATTTTGTTTTCACGACCAAAACGCTACCCGTGTGTTCCACATATCACGGACCAACAAACTTTGGAACTCGGTTGTCGTGCAACAGATCTTCCTGATCCGTCGTTGCGCTGTTCTTCAAAGTGCTCCTCAAACGTAACCTTATTGGGCAGTCTGTACTGACGTTCACTTTGTCCGATTCCATTAGTCCACTAGCATCACATACATATCGTTTCACAGAACCAAAACTCCGGACATTGTAACTAAACCGTTAACCATTGCTCCATCGAGCAACAGCTTCATACTTACCGTCTACGGATGTGTCTTCACGGTGGTTTCTAGCACCGCTTGTTTCTAAATGCCTCGCCATCCTAATGTCTATGTGAATGTGTATACTCATTGTTTTTGTCATTTGAAGATATGGACGACTTCATCGTGGATGATAGGCGCGGTGAGGCTCCGGCAAGGGCTACCAGACGCATCGTACACAAGGATGCCGCGCTACAGCAAGCACAGGACATTTTTGGGGTCGATTTCAATCTTGCCGAATTCGAGGCTTTTCGTAAGGGGCGGACTGGTGTCGACGAAGACAGCGAGGCGTCTGAGGCTGAATATTCAGAAGATGAGGAGTCTGCCTCTGTTACTGATCGAAAGCACAGAAGGCGTCGCGGAAAGTTGGATTTGGACGATAAGGTTTACGAGTTGTTCGACCCAAGTGATCTAGAGCGGGCCTACTATAGTCAGGCCGATGAACGCATTCGGAAAACTGACATCCCAGAGCGATTTCAGCTTCGCCAGGTTCCTATCCAAGTAATCGACCCCGGATCTCCCACTTACAACCAAGACTTACAAGAGTTGTCCGATGAGGCTAACTGGATATATCGTCACGCATTTAAGGAGGAACATGAATATAAGGTTCGTTTCCCTTTACTACCAGTAACCCGCTTTTTGTTAGCCCGTCACCGTTATACCCAAGATTGTGGAAACACTGAAACTTTTACGGGAATCCCTTTTTGAACCACCTTTCATCAATTTCTATCGCAAGGAGTGCGTTGAAAGAGACCTAAACATCAAAGACCTTTGGCTCATTTACCAGCTTGATGAAAAGTGGTCCGTTTTGCACCAACGCAAACGCACTATGATCGATTTGTTGCAGAAACTTTATGATTTCTTCGAAGCTACCGCTCCTAACGATATTTCGTCCAATCAGAAGAAACATGCAGCTTCTATCTTAAAATTGATATCATGGTACTTATCCTATTTTATTTTGAGCATGCATCCTATAGCGCACGAAGTTCAGAATCACTGGAAGAACTGGCGGATGTACGCTTGAATTACCTGTTACATTACGCCGCCTACGTCGAGCCCATGAAACGATGGTTCAAACGCCATCAAACGGGAAAGGATCCTAACGGAGTAAGTTATATACTGAAAAGTTCATCTGCTAACACTATAGATATTCCATCTATTGGAGTTCATTTTCTCTAATCATGTTTTAGGAACTTTCTGAAGAAACTGCATCCGACGATTACAATGTGAAGGAATCTAGTGGTGTTACTCCGTTTACCGTCGGCCTCGATCCAATCACTGGACGCCCAATTCGTCAGCGCCAGGCTCGTGCCACTGCTTCTTATGAGCTTGCTCAACGAGCTGGTCTCGGTGGCTTAGTACAGCGATTCGGATTGTCTGCTTCACAGTTCGCAGAGAACGTGCAAGATCAATATCTGCGACACGATGTTGACCAGTGCCCAATGCTACCACTGGACGCAGCCTCAGACTTCTTGTGCCCGCAGTTCCCTGAGCCGAGCATAGCGCTTAGCGCAGCACGATACATGCTGGCCTTCCAAATTTCACGAGAACCTTTTGTTCGACGGATGATGCGTCAAATGTTTCAGTTACAAGCAGTCATCAGTGTGCGTCCTACTCCCCGTGGCATTAAGCAAATCGACGAATCCCATCCACTCAGTTCCGTCAAGTATCTCAACAGCAAACCGGTTGCGGATTTGATGGGTTCTGTTCTTTTCATGAACCTGCACAACGTAAGTAGCTCCTTCTACGGCGTTCTTACTAATTTCCTAACTCTTTCTAGGCCAGTCGGGAGAAATTGTTGACCTACGAGATTCATGTGCCAGCTGAGCAAATCAGAGGCTTGTCTCTCGTTGAAGAACTTCAACGCTTCTTCCATCAGGATGAATTTAGCTCCCTTGTTCAAGCGTGGAATGAACAAAGAAATTTAGTATTGAAACAGGCTGCTGAAGAATTTATTTTCCCAACTCTCATCCGAGAATTACGCGAAAAAATGCTGCAAGCAAGCCAACAGGCTGTCCTTCGCGTAAGTAAGCCATTTACTTTATTATTTAACTCCTTAAATCCATGTCCTTTATCACTGCTTCTTCGATACGGTCCATCACGATGCGACTGGGCCGCAAATTAATGCGATTGTTTGCACGCTTTCATGATCCATTGAGTTACACTGTGTGGTACTTTCAAAGTGCTTACATAGCCGCCTATTTCAGACATGTCAGTTGTTAGGTTTCCTACAGACTCAATTTCAGCATGCTCTCCATCGAAGTTTGGGTTAAGTCGATGGCCCTTTTTCTTCTAACTTTAACGATGGGAAGCAACAGTTGAATTTATGAACTCAACTCGAGCGTTGCAGAGCGCCATTGCAAAGATTACTTTTGACGGCGGAAGGGTACGGCCACTTCTCAATCGTTTGTTGCCACTCTCCCCAAGGCAGGCGCTTCTTGTTCAATTGGTCGTGGTCGCAGGTGCATACTCTGTTATGGTCGGATTATTCTGTGGCTTCTACTGCCGCGTGCACAAGGTCTCAAGCAAATCCCCCACGAACTCTGTAGTCGGATGTCAGAAGTAGACCTATTCCCTGCTCTCATATGGGTCATTCGGTTGCATTCGAAACTGTTCGCGCCAAATTAGGTATATGTCACAAAAATCAAGAATTCATACATTTATTTGCTTAGGGATTAAGCATCCCGTAGAAGCGCCTCTCTCGGAATGTGCAGTCGAGGTGCAACATCTACCCATGATATACCCACACTAGTTGTTTTTCTCCCATTTCCATTTCCTCTACTCTACTCTCCTCTACTTCTCGTATTCATCACCGAAAGACCACTAGCAATCTCATGAATCCTACCAGCAAAGGAGTTGCGTTCTAAGCAGCCTTTTTAGGCTTTTCATGATCCACACGCTGCGTCAGATGGGCCAAGAGACAACACGCCAAGATTTTGCACTCATTCATGGCTGATCTATGTAGTTCCCAATATATCTGCATTTACCAGCTTCGGTTTCCAGTGATAGATGCTAAAAACTTCAAGTCCACAGGTAATGACGCCTCCAAATCACTTGCTATTTTCATTGTCGAAGTTATCATCAATAGACCTACGGGGGCGCATCTTCTGGATTGTGTTACAGGTAATAGGTACATGTGTACCACTGGAGTCAACAAAGAACAACTGAGGGGCGCTAAAGATGCATTTTATCGGCATCTCCTCTTTTTTTCCGAACGAGCAAAAGCACCAACACCGCACTGCTTGTACTTGACACTATCGCACAAATTGGGAGTCTATTAGCATCGCAGCCTCGCCTCGGATACTGGTTTCTGAATCTGTGCGTTGCGTACTTTCTTTCTTTGGTTACTCACTGGTAACAACCCCTACATCAGCATCACAGCTTTCCATCACAAGCGTTCCATCGGGTTACTTAGCGGCCACCGACTTGTTGGCCGCATCGCTATCAGTTACAGGTGGTACACAACAGTGCGAGATGATTGTCGGTCGATCTGGAGCACTTCCCTTCACTCTGACTATATTCTCGTGCGCTCTCGCCTAACGCTCACTCTTCTTGCCTTGATGAAGATCACTACTTTGAAGGCGCTTGCTCCTCAACCATATCCGTATTCCACGAACCGTATGAGGTAGACAAACTCGAATCGAACTGGGATCGTCTTCGAGCACCCGGAATTGTTTGTCCTCCTGGATTAAATTGTCTGAATAATGGATGCATTCCTTTCGATCTGCTTTATTGGAACTCGTAAGATGTTTTTCTCTGGGTTTCAGTTTTAGGTTGTACGTAACACTCTGAAACATCGTATTACTAGGAGCTTGATAATCTATTGTGTATTGGTGAATTGCGATGGTCCGTGAGGCTGAAATCTGTCATTGGAAACACCAGAATAATGTCCCAACTGGCCCAACACACGGGTCCAACAAAGGTTCTCGTGAGGGAAACTGTAGCTGAGAATGAAGGTCATCTGTTTCACTCCCGGTCACACCGGCCAGGACGCTTGTCTGAACACTTTCAGGAGCACGGTGTTCCAGGATTGTAAGTTGTGTCACCTGAACACACCGAGTGTGTTGCTACAATGAGGTCCTTCGTGGATGAAATCCCATACCATCTGACGGAATAAGGCACCTGACATGTACTGTCTTTCGCCATCGTCACTGACGGATGGTTGTGACTCACTGTTAACTGCCGTGATTGCCCAATCAGACACCATTTGGCTCAAATTGAACTGCCATCTTACTGAAGGTTATTGGTTGTTCTTTCATTCAAAAAGGGGTCAAAGGATTTCAATGCATCAGGCATCAGCAGTACGCTGTCACGCGAACATCACCATTCGCATGCAAGCTAGCTATACTGCGTAGAGCTTGCAGCTACGCAGCCTCCAACCACTGACCTCTTGTTTACCATTTGAATGTCTCATTCTTTCAGCCACTGGCCTACTTACAAACCATTGACATTCATCATATACAACGGCACCTCCATCATCCTGAGGTTCGACGAGAAAAGCCAAGTTAGCTCCCGCTCCAGTGAAGAGTGCATGGATCATACTCGTCGCCAGGTACTTCGGCGCCACCGCACTTACAGACAGCTGTCATGGGAGCCTACTTTGACTTGAGAGCTACTTTTGATTCTGCTGATCGCACCTGTTTGTGGTAATGTATCCTTGTGATGTGTACCCGAGAAGTTCCTTTCTGTTCTAAATTCTCTGTACCGCAACTCCTATGGCTGTGTAAACCCGCTCGGTGACCGAGCGTTTCAGGCACCCGGCTTGTAATCCACAGATTTATAATTCGTGCCTGCATAGTGCGTAAAGAGCACCCTGTCTCTCCATACGACTGTGATCGAAATGTTCATGAATAACTTCCACTTCCCTCAAGTTCGACTTTCCAATGCATAGTCGACTGTCAAAACTCAAGCTTGCGTCTGACATAGTTCCTGGGTGGAATGCAAGCCTTGCCTAGCAGACTGGCACGTGACACTACACGCATATGTATGTGCTTTGCACTTCAAATCACACAGTGATCTCATAGAACTGAACGGATTCACCTCTAATTCTCCTCATTACGGAATAGCCGCTTGAAGTGGCCTGTACAGTTAACTTATGTGAACATTACTATGTCATTTCTTTCGGTCACGTTTGTGCGCGCATTGCTAAGGCAAATGTGACTTTTTTGATCCTCTATCACTTATAGATACGGCGGGATGTAAGCTTATTGCTTAAAGGACAAATTTGTCGTACCCGGAGAAATAGGTGTCGGCAGTACGCCGGTACGCTTCACCCATACTTTTCTGTCACGCAACCATCACCAGTCGCTCGAGGGCTAAATCCCCTGCGAGGGTCGCCTACTCCCCCTATACAGACTCGAACCCCGATCTCCGGCTTACAATGAGAACGCCTTGTCCCTTCGGCTGCGATCCGGCTGTTACACTGGGATGTATGTGCCGGTGGCCGGTGGCCGAGTGGTCGGCACGTTTGCTTTCCAACCATAAGGTCACCGGTTCGAATCCGCGTAGGGGTGGGCGTCCTCGCGGTATACTTAGCCCGCGCGCGACTAGTGGTGGTCGCGCGACAGCGAAGCGTCGTTACGGCGTATAAGCTGACACATTTACATTTCAGAGATTGTTATAAACGTCCTCGTTGGGTTTCGACTCTCGGAACGAACGAACTCTTCACGCGTTGTTCCCCACGCGCAGAGTAGCCTAGACGCTTCGTGCTGGAACAGGTAGTGGACTTAGCCGGCAGACGTGAACTCGCTATTGATAAGGCAGACGGAACGTGTAACGGCGCACAACCGTACCGAGACACGCAGAAAGAAGACCGGCCACTAATAAGAGAGTTTTACTGACTCAATCAAGGCGACCATGCTTTCTGCACCTTCATATTTATAGTTCATTAAAGCAGTAGTACTTGTATAAACTATAAGGGAAGGCGTATGTTTGTTGGCACATGAGTTGCCATGTCATGGTCCTATCTTTGGACCGATATGGAGTGGGTTCGATGTTGTTGAGACCTTAGGCACAACACAGTTACTTAGTTTGCCCGGTGGCTAAGACAGCATGAACACGTCTCAGCAAACAGACGGCTAACATGAAGAGAGTCGGGGAGATACGGTAGTGAGACTGGGGCGAGTTCATTAGAAACTGTGTAGGATACGTTGGCCATGTTCTCACTGCGGACAACTCCTTTGTGATCTGCCGCAGCTGAGTGGATCCTTGGTGGCAGTTTCCGCAGGGAGAGCTGCGCTCTGAACTGGGTAGTTTGGGTCTCTACATAGCAACCGTGTTGTTCGGCCCCGTAGTGTATTGGCGCCTGTGAAACCCGGGTGAGTTTTGCAGGGCTGTGCCAGCCCTGTATCAGACTTAGCCACTGCAAGCCGAAAACTTCAAGAGACCGTCTGACCACCGGTGACTGCGACCTTTTCCTCATATCTAATATGAGAACGAATTGCATAATACTGCAATTCGTCTTTTAGTGTTTGGCCATCGAACCTCCGACATCTCATTCGATTGCTTGTTGAACTCGAATTGCCTTCACCGGCCTGGTCCTGTGCTCTGCATGTCTGCAAGTCGTCATCCTCGTCGTGTAATAGCACTGCTCCTAGTTGCACGAAACCTCGAGGTAACCAAACATTGACATGGCAGAGCGCATGCATGAACTCATCGAAAGACTGAATTGGATTGGTACTTGTCTTCACCTTTAATGGCGTCCTCTAGACTGGACTACTTGGTGAATGATGCTCTTGCCTCCATTTTCACATTTCTACCTATTAACTACTCCATCCAACAAATTTATTTTCGGCTCATTTACCTGGAATTATTACTGTTGTTGTTTCGGCGATGTGACAACTGTATCCACCACATTTCAGTGCACGAAACATACTGACTAAGGTGGATGGCACTGCATTTGAGCGCAACGGATACGCACGCAATTTAATCCGCAGATGCTTAAACCACAAGCCCACAACAAGCCGATGTCAAAGGCAAGCAAACAGATAGTTATGACGTATGAGAAGAACATATCTGAAATGA